CATCAAAGAGCGACACGTGCCAAATGTGATATTCCATTAGACGGCGTAACGTTTGTTTCGATAGGTAATCGAGTCTCGTGGAAATAGATTGTACGAACTCGTTTTCAGACATATACTTGATCGCGTGTCACGAGGATGGTCGCCGCGTGATACGCGTCGCATACTTGCTGATTAACAGCGAAACGACATTGTTACACAAATGTGTAAACGTGTAATTAAATATGAAGACTACGAAAAGGAAAGAGATAAAAGACGAGGAACGCCTGAAACTTGAATTTTCCATGCGGTTCGCCCTGCCTTGTACGTTCCTTCTGTTCTGCCACTCCTACTGTCTCCAACGTACGACGCAACATCGCTCGTAAATGTTATAAATTATTTATCAGCGTGTATACGTACGATCGTTGAAACGTTTGTTGTATTTGATCGTATGCGTGGTTTTCCCGTTCTTTATTGCCAATTACGAGCTGCAAATCCGGCATACAATTTATCACTTTTCATGTTACCTTTATTGCGCTCGATCCATATGTTTTGCGAAGCCATTCGTTAACGCAACCTGGAATTCTCTCTTCCTTCGGCCGTGCGTGCTATCTCGTTTTAACAAGGGCGAGGATTCTCGACGACGTTGTCTTCTCCGTGAGTTCTTCGGTTTTACGATCCAGACCGAAAGACGACGAACTGTTTCAAGGGGGCAGGTAATCTTTTTCGTCGTCTACGAGAAGCGTTAAAGATCATCGGAGAACAGGACTCTTTCCTTAATGGTATCTTTTAATCTTCAATCTCTTTCTTCTCTTCTGCCCCGTATTTTCTTCGTTTCTAAAAAATGTTTTTTTAGCAGATACGTATGTACCTGGAACACGTCGAAGTACTATCACGTTATAAGGCAGAGCAGAGTTTCGCGTGCACGAGATCGATATTATCCTCGTCAGTGCGTATTGGAATCCGTAACGAAGCGGCAGTGATACGAAATAACGCGCCCAAGCTATCTGCCGGAGAAACAGATAATTCTCGCTAGTCAAACCAACCAGAGAATTTCCTAATCTTCTAACGAATCGGCCAGATTGAAAATCGCATGTTCGTCGTTTCTCCGATAATTCTTATCGGCCATTAAATTACTCCCCGAGCTTCCACCCGTTCGTTCCAGATTTTTTTCCAAAGCGAACTTTACGATTCTCGTCTAGAAATTTGGTCACCATGTCGCAGCAGTCGTGGTCAAAGCTTCTGCCGAGGTATAAGTTCAAAGAAGAAGGTCGCGCGACGAGGAGAGGAGGAACGTGTTTAACGAACGGCAATAATTTATGCCCGGGCACGGCCGCGCGTGGAAAAAACTCGTTGTGCTCGTCTTCCCGCCTCGACTTCGACCAGTAGGCCAGCCAGTGAGCGAACTCATAAATAGCGGAAAAGGCTGGCAATTCGCTTTTACGTTCGGAGGGCTCTGCTCGCGTCCGTCCGAATTGCTCTTTTTCGAACTGGCTATTGCCACACTCCACTCCGAACGGATGATTGAAAAAAATGCGGCACAGCCGCCAAACCGCGAGATCCGCGCGCATTTCCTTCGAATCCTAGTAATTCCGTTTCCGTTTACTGGGGTTACAATGTCGTTTCTGGTTATCCGCTTACTATCGCCGCGTACACGTTTCGCGTTACTTTTCAAATAAGACCGGTTAATCATCCGGAGCTTACATTTTTTATACGCGTTTCCCGTTGGTTGTACAAGCAGCCTGGATAAGATCGATCGAACTGATTTTTTCTGTTCGTCGAACGCCAGGGGAAAGCAACGATCCAGAACGGAAGTCGATTAAGAATTCTTCTGCCTTCGGGCTAGCCCTCTTTTTCAAGCGTCGAGTAGAGCGGTTTAAAATCGGCTCTCGCCGTAGATACGATGTTTTGCCTCGATATTCGCCCCTTGATAACTTTCCGTCGAGAGATATGGATCGACAAAGATCGAGGATACAGCGCGACTTATGATTTGTCTTTTGGCAGGAACGGAAGCACGTGGTTGTGTTTTATCCGGGGGCGGTATTGATTGGATATTTTTGTAATACTCTCCTACAGCGGACGTTGATTTAAACCCGCCATCTGTTTATTGATATTCTTTGGACGATTCGGAGATCGAATTACCAATGGAATACTCGAAGACCAGTCTGTCAAAGGAATCATCGATATTCCGAAATGACCGATTTCTTTGTCAAGTATCCCCGCGTCGTCGAATCTGTGGAATAGTATCCTCGACGCAACAACAGCCCCTTCTTCAACGTGCAGCAATTACCTTCCCCCTTAAGACAGAGTAAACCGCTCTTTAAACCGTCCCTCGAGTACTCCTTTCCGTCCATCGAGACGGTCCTGTTTCTCCTATAGACTTGTCCTCGCGCGTTTCTATCCTCTTCACAAGGGGAGACGGAGTAACGGCTCTTGGGGGTGGATCGGCAAAAAAAGAGACAGCAGAGCGAGTTCTCGTCTCCCGTGAGGGAAGGACAGAAAGCGAGGTAGCACGAGGGCCGGAAGAAGGAGAGAAGAGAAAAGACGATGGTGGTTGGTGAACGCGAGAAAGGTAGGGTATTAACCGTGAAGAAACGAGGACCGGCTTTTCACGGTGGTGTCTCGAAGGCATAGCGGGGTCTCTGCTTCCGACTGCAGATACATTGCGACATGGAACCGGGGGTTAGTGTAGGGGGTTTCGTGGTGGCGCGAGAGGGGCGAAGGGACCGGCGACGAGGGTGGTGGGTTGCTCGGGGCTCGAAAGGGGGATGAAATGCGCCGCGACGCGCTGCGGCGAAGCCAGACGGAGACGGACTGAGTTTCTGCTCCGCATCCGCAGCATCCTCCCTCTCTATCCTCTCTGTCCTTCTCCAGCCCTTTCTCTATCTAGTTTTCTTTCTTCGTATCCCCTTCCTACTCCTTCGTCTCGTCGTTCACCCTCTTCCTTCTTTCCCTCTATCATTCCTTCGTCTCTCTCTCTCTCTCTCTCTTCCACCCGGTTAACTTTCGTTCCGTCCTTTCCCTTCTCCACTCTGATCCTCCTCTTCCGCGTTTAACGTGTCTTCTATTTCCACGCGCCCGGCATTACGCTCTCTCCTTCATCCCTTGCGATCCTCCTCTCTTTCTGCCTCGCTGTTTCTGCCTTTCTCCATTTCACCCCCCGACTCAAACCACCGCGGTCCAGTCGAGTGTCGGCCCGTGAACCGTGCAGTTCGCCTCGTGGCTCGTTCGCACGACGGCTGTGTGACGATCAAATTGTCCATTCGGCTGGTAGGAACGCGCGCGACTCGACAGCCGGCATCCTTGCAAACACCACCTACATAGATCACGGCAGGATCTAAGAAGAGTCGGGCATAAGAGGAGATTCTATCGGCCGGTTGGACAGCGAGTGGCGAGAACCAGCGTAGAAGCCAGCAACCGGAATCCACGTGGTGTTGACGTGAAAGGTAGAAGGGGTGCTCTCACTGGGAAGGGTGGAAAGGGTTCGAAAGTGTACTGTTATTGGTCGTTTATCTAATACGATCACATGTTTCGTGTTTGAACAACGGAACGATATTTGTAGCTTGTGTGAAAATATTGGTATTCCTGAAGAGTTTGTAGATCGCTACGATAGCGATTCGCTTAATTTGCCTCTCTTTTCTCTTTTTTTTTCAAACAATGATGTTCAAGTTTCGCGTAAATTATACGATTGGAACGAAACGTTGGATGTTCGTGTTCGAAGCAGCACGTTCGAAAAATTGAAATGTAGATAAAATATTTGTTTGTTGCCGTTTGTAGTACTCTCGACCAGTGGATGGAGCAATGGGCAAAATATTTTCTTTCTTTTCTCTTCTTGAGGTACCAACTAATTTTTCAACTTGAACACGCTATTGCCTCAAAGCAGTCAAATAAGCAGACCTAGTTTACGCTATTCTCAACAAGTCGAGAGGAGAAGCTTCTCAGCTTATTAAGCTCCACTCTCTTCAACCTTTCCACCGCAACGCCCAAAACACGAAAAGAGAAAAAAAAGAAAGAAAAAGAAGCTGTATCGCGTCGAGAGAAAACATTTCTCTCGAATTTTCTTCCTTGCAATGAAATTCCTTTTCCCATTTCTTTTATACCTTTTTAGAGACGCGCCATGTATCACACGATTCGGTCTAAAAATGAGGGCTTTTAAGAGGACCGGAAGCAGACCCTTCCGTAACTCTTTGACACGTTGCAAACACGCGTCATCGGTTCGCTTGGCATTCTTCGTATTCTGATCAGACGCGATCGAAATTCGCTTGCGTGCACTCCGATTGAAAATCAGCAATCCCGGTCCACGTGCCGCGAATCCTAAATCGTAACAAGCACCTGGCTACTTGATTCTACAGCCATTTTGAATCCTGAACGTATTTGTTTCGAACGATACAGATTTTAAACGATGTTTGTTGGTGTTAAAGAATTCTCTTTACCAGAAAAAAAAAAAACAAACTTTTCTGTCATCAGTCAACGGTCAAAATTTTCTAATACTTTCATGGATCGCACGAGTTATCACTATGTATACGACATTGACCTATTCGAACGCTCATTTTTTATATTTATCATATAAATAACGCGTAAGCTAAGATTAAATATTATAGATCGAAAGGTCAAATAATTTACACGAAAAAATTTCGAAGGATCCTTTTGTCATGTAACGCGTCGTAGCCGCGACGCACAAATTTCATTTCCCGTGAAATACGAGAATGGAACAAGCCAAAGAGTCGAATGTTTATCGCGTTTCACGGCCAGCACAGCGAGAAACGTTTCCTCGTGTTCAGTTTTCCAGCAACTGAAGCAAAATCGAGCCGGACGATCCATATTTGTTTGTGTAGCAACGATAAATATCGAAGTTAATGGCTATCGCCATCTAGAAGGTGCGCGATTCAATGGAGGTTAATCGACCGACATCGGATCTGAATGAAACTAAATCGCGTTAGGCTTGATTTCCTTCTCACAAAAGAATCCAATTATAAGCCTTTCAACGGCCATTCGACAATAACCGGCCCAGTGTTCCTAACCTCTTTCCTTTCCGCCAGCATTAACCAAATTAAAATTCCCGCTCGCGATTGGTGAATGGTTTTTAAGCCGTACAAAGCTTCGTGGTTTAGCGTTTCTCCTCCAACTCTTTGTTATTTTTTTTCCTTGCGGACGACTTCATTTAATATCGCGTGAAAAATTAACATTTATCGATTTTACGTTGTAGTATATGTATGCCATGGTGAATGTACTGTGAGTGAACTAAGTATATTAGGCTTGTAAAGTCAGTCAGGTGTTAAAGTTTACGCTTTAAGAGTCAAAACAGTAATTTTAGACACAAGTATGGCGGACAGTATGCCAAACACCGATGTGCTGTATATAAACTAGGAACGGACTTTGCAAGAACATAATCTGCAATTTTGTAAAGAAGTTGTATATATAAATTAATAAATGGCCCGGAAGCCATTAAAATGCATACGACTTCGAGTATGTCGCCAATTAATGTTCTAATTCACGATCTCGTTATATCTCTTCTACAAATTATACGAGATGTTTCGTATCTAATGACCCGTTTGCTACATTTCAAGAAATTGTTTCATTCGTCTTGCATAATTCGATTGGTCACGTAAGAAACCCCGTAATACCGCATAATACGTGTTTCAGCGATAACGATTTGTTACAGTCGAAGTCAGTGACCAATCTCGTAAATTACATGTTCAGTCATATTGTCGTAGTCGACTAACGCGTGCGCGTTACAGCTTTATTTATGTCGCCATAAACGCTTCTAAATTAGAAAATAATTAACCACGCGTCAGAAGCCAGAATTTCCTGCGAAATTCATATCCGTTCTTTAATGTTCGCATCGCATCCGCGAATTTTTTATTTCAAACTTTATTCAAACAAATAAATGGCGAAGCGAGAGGATCTAAACAAAGAACGCAGCATCGTTTGTCACTTTAAACTCATCATTCATACCTGGTGTGTTAACCGACGAGACCATTGTGCAGTTTGCGAGTTCGTAGAAAGTAAAATGCAGCATTAATGTTCACCCAAGCGTGTCCCAAGAGCCCTCGGATAATGGGTTAATTCTTCCAAATCTTTAGAGAATCAGGTATTTGTTATTGATTTTAATATCTTTAATTCCATCGTTGGTTGGCGATATCGCAGCTGGGTTCGTTATGGCGGTATAACGAGATGTCGAACGAAGAACGCTCGGCAAAGTTATCACGATCTCGCGATTACATCAATTTCTTCCGTGATTTTCACGTATAAATGTCGATAAAGTCACCGAGTCGGCTTGAGCGTATTGCTACGAAGAGGCACTCGATTTAAGTACCGATCACGTATACCGTGGCAGCATAAAAAACAACACCGGTAATTTATCGCGATGCTCCAATACTTCCGTTTTCGATAACAGCGTTGATGCGACGATTTTCTCGATGACCGTGCATCTTTTACCACTCCGCGAATTACCCGGCGATTATCCCCGGTTATTTACATATTAAAAATATACCGCTATAGATAAGGACATAAATCTTGGTGATAATTCGCTTAGTTTCGTATCTTTCGCGACGAATCTAACACGAAAACGCAAACGTTTAACACGTAAGGCACGTACCTTATTTCCCGCGAAACGTGTGATGCACTTGATCAACGATCTTTAGCTATTTATGTCAATATTAAACTGGTGGCGCCCCCTTTTAGTATATTGAAAGAAGTTCAGAATTCACGAAAACAGGAAAGGGGGCGTGGTGTGGGGAAACTTTAGACCCGCTAATAGGTTTGTAATCTATTAACAAACTCAGTGGTCGGAGGCTGTCACTGATCTTGGCGGTACCGAACGAAATGAAGAAACACAAGTATCACTCGTGTAAGGATTTAGATACGTTATGGCGACGAATGTTATGTATATACGGCGGAAAATATATAGTGAAATCTTAAATTACGGCATTAATCGACGACACCGATTGACACATTCGGAGCTTGAAACTAGAAAAGTCACTTGTGAATTAATCGTCAAATTTCTTTCTGATATGTATACGTGTCTGGTGTGAAAGTAGCAAACTGTGTACTTTTAGAATTCTCTTTCCAAATTGTATGTTACAGAGGTCCCGAACTTCTTATCTTTCTCTAGGCATATCAAATCACTGTTGGAGTTCTCGAAGCATGTAAGCTTTAACGTGTGATCGATTTCGTGACCGTAATAATATCTTTTCTACTCACAATATGTGGACAAATCATGTGTTTCCATTTTAACTTTACCACGAAACGTATTACATTATCGATGTAACGATCGATGAGACACGCCATTTTCCCGCGCTTTCGAAGTGAACAGAATCGCGACATTCGCGTGACTAGAAATAAATGATCGGGAAACGTTAAGTACCATTCCTTACCTGTATGTCTCTTGCGAAGGTGAAGCCGCGGTGCAGCCAAAAGGAAAACCAAGTCCACAAAGAGAAGAAGTCAGTTATTTCGGTGTTAATTAAGTGACGACGTCCTCACATAGACGCGCGCATACATGGTCATCAGGAGCGGTGCCTAATTGGCACGGAAACAACACGGCCATCTTAATTGGTTAATTTGCGAAGAGGCCCGGGAACCCATGCGTCACGGCACGCTCGACTATCGCAGGATGCAGTTACCTATGGCCATCTTGGAATAATCTTCCTGCCCTTTTCTTATATTACTTCCCCCCGATCGGGCCGGATCCGGTGAACCAAGGACTACCATACCGTCTTAACGATAATTCGAACAACCTTCCTCCTTTTCTATGACAAGTTCCTGCAATACGTGACCAAATTCGCGACCATGACCAGCGGACAGAGGAACAAGTCTGTAGTACATCCGGAACAGCGGTATGCCTACATGCCCTGTCCGCTCTATGACACCGGTAAGTTAACCATTTCTTTTGTTTCCAATGCTTTCCGTTTAATAACATAACGATATTACCTATACCGTTCAATTGCGTAATAATTCTAGAGGATTTAAACCATTATGGCAGTCGACGTGCTAGAAAGCATACATTCATTTTCTTTGGATGGTTTTGGACAATTAATCAGGAAACTTCGTAGTTTAAATATATTATATTTCTCTCGTGGAGAAATTCAAATGACCAATGTCCGGTGCAGTTGTTCGGGCTCTCGTTTGTTCGAACAGGGGAAAATCGCGCAGCCAGGATGCGTTATACGATAGAAAGTCGCGAAATGCACAAGGATCATCGTTTACGTAGGCTTCATACGACTGCTGTTCCACTTACTTATTATTTGCCATTGGAATGCAAACAGAGTAAGAAACCGCGGTTTCTATGAGATTTCCCTGTCGATTCCTGAAAGTTGCCGGCCAGGAGTTCGTAATAAAGGAAATTGGATTTCTATAGCGAACGAATAAAGTTTCAGACGGTCGAATCGGAACGAGCATCGGCCTTGGTGGCCTTACCGCGAGATCCTCCAGTTACTTTGTATCTAAATGTCGTTCGGTTTAACAAAGGCTGACTAATAAATAAGCTTCTTCTCCAACTTTTAAATAGATCGTCGTTTCTTTCGCGTTCGCTGCGGCGAAAATGATCGTTGGATTTTTCGTATCGAAGGGATGAGCAAAAGAAACGGAAAAGGCGGAGGCGGAAAAGAACAAGATCTAAGAAAAAAAGGAAGAATGGAAAAAGAGGAACGAAGTTAAGAAGGAAGAATTTATTGAATTAGGCAAAAAGTTTTCGCATTCTTTATGAGATGTCATTTCCGTATGTCACTGAGTAAGCTGTTAATAATTACGTATTCTTCTATTCTCATAACATTATCGCTTATGCAGATCGTTACAGAGTTATGTCAATGTTGTGTTAAAAATTATATTTTACGTTTAAACAATACAACTTTCCATGTAAGCTGATTTGCGGAGCGTGAAATGCTATTCATCGCAACATAGCGGTATTTACTATGACAGAAATGCAGAAAACTTTCACTCGACTGAATAATTTATATTCAAAACATTTGAATTATCCCGTAGACTAGGTTCGCGAAATTTATTCGTTCAAGAATGATATTTTACTCGTCGCTAAGCCGCGTCGGTAGAACAATTTACGATCACGCATAAATTAAGCGATTAGTTTGCACATTACTGTCATCATCAATATTTATTAAATCATTTTACTGCGTTTTAAGGCGCTCTTATGTAACTCCTTGTACGTACACATGGCCATTTGAACAACAAAACTACGAAGTTTCCTAGCTAAGTGCGTCGAATCCGCGAAATCACTTGCACGTATCTTTCACTGCAGTTTTTCTTTCATTTTCCGACCGTACGGTATAAGAGTACTTGTCACACGATTACCAGCATGGGCTTTATTTCGATTAAAATAAACTCAGATGCATCCATATTTACGTAAATACGAAAATAACTGATGCAACGTGTTAGCAAACTCCGAGGAGTTGATTGCCAATAAATTCCTCGCGTTTCGAACAAACTTTTCTTACTAACCTTGTTATATCGTAGACTTACGTATCAAGTTTCTTAAGAAAACTATAAAAGAACAATCAATTTGTTCAAAGATCTATAGTAGAAAGTCTCCTTCGATGAACATGATACTCTTTCTTTTTGTCTTGAAATGTTTCTGCTTAGAGACAAAATTGTTGCATGCGCTAAATCTACTTGCATGCGGTCAATTATGCCTGGAAATTAATTATAGCGACGAACAATAACCCTGGGTGCTCGTGATCTATCAGCGTGACTCGTGCGACAATGAACACGCCGCCCAATTGCAAATTTGACCGAAACTTTAGTCTCGGGACATAAATGACACGACCTGACCACAGAGCAGCGATGACATTCTATGTCGAAACTAGTGTATCCAAGTTCGCCACGTATGATGAACGATCCCCTAGTGTCGAAGCCGAATTTACAACATAGCTTAAGAGATAGGGTAGGAAAAGCGATGGCGAGATCTTCCTATCGTCTCGTTTATGACATTCCACTCACGTGTTCCCAGTACCAACGCGTTATTAAAACAATACTCACAGGGTAGCTGAATGACAGTTAATCGAGATAGTTAATCTTTTGATCAATGACACGAAATATTTTACTCTTTCCCTTTGGTTGGTAAATTTTCAATGTCGGTTAAACCAGATAGTTTTCAAGCGATATGTCATGCTCAAGAATGATTACCTATAGTTTATCGAATTTGGTTATATACATGGAATAATGGATTTCATTGTTGCCTATTCCAGGGTACCTGTTAAGTCAACATGCTCTGCATACAGGATCGGCAAGATAAACTTAAACCAGATCCAAAGATACACGTTTGATCGATGCGCGGTCAGCCGCACAAAGAGACCACCGCACCGTCTCGTTTCAATCGGGCAGATCTCTTCGCTCCACAGAACATTCGATTTTGTACGCCTTGCTTTTAGTTATCAAACCGATATCCAACGAATCATAATGCTATTATCACTGATTATCAACGTTTGTCATCCTTAGGTCAAAACGTATTTCTTCAGTTTTAAAGAATATTCGAATCAACGTTATTCGACTGATGCATACTACCGATCAACTCTTCGCTATACATAGGAGTCGAGGCAATCTTTCTTCCTCACGAACAATAGTTTAGAAGAATGCAGGTGATATTAGAAAATATTAGAAGGACATGAATTTTCCACGTGCTATCTGGAGTACAAAGTTGATAAAGTTGAATAATATCGAAGCTTAGGGCAGAGGTAGCGCAGTTTCAAGTTGTTACTCGATAAGTTTCCCTCCGAAGGGAACCTACTATTTCGCGATGCTGGCGATTTGGAACGATTCGCGTCGCTTCATGTTTCATTCACCATCCGTTTCATTATGCATCGCGGTGGTTAGCGAGGCCACGTGCCCACGTGTTTCCGAATTAATTGCAATTTCCGTCGTCTCGTGACACACCCGTAGACGATGTGACTAACACCGTCACGAACAAAAACCCGATTCCGAGCACCTGCGAATTTAAGTCTGTTCAGTTTACTTAATTCTTCGTATCACCGTGTGATATGGAAATTGCCTACCTGTCGCTGCAGAAAGATGTTTAGCATGTAAGTATATATCACTTTGCTTTGAATGTCGTACAGGGGGATCGAAAAGCTGTTAGTCTAGGTAGATTTAGGGTTATAGCAGGGTTTAAGTGTAGCGGGATTGGACCTTTACGAGACTTTAGAAGTACAGTTAACTCCTGCGTCCGAAGTAAGGTACATATTCGGAGAGAAGTTGATCTAAATGGGATCTTCTTAATAGCGTTTAAAGATAGAAAGTTTGATGAATATGAAATAAATTAAAGTTGCTTAAAATTGTAAAACCATCGCCACTCGAAGTATGTACTTTTTAAACTTTATTAATTGCTTGTGATTTAAGGATCGGTTTTATTCAAATGGCAAGGCTCTCGTAATAAACTTTATAGTTTAGAAAAAATTATAGCGAGCTTTCAGTTTGAAGCGATATACTCTATACTCTACGATCGTCAAGCCGCGAGATTTACCCCACGCATGGAATCAAAGATTCGAATGCCCAGCATCTTTCAGCATCGAGGGTAACGCTAATCGTCAGGCAAGTTACTTGAACAAGCGCTACAGTGAGATTGCCATCGAGTTTACTTGGCAGATATAGAAGGCCACTGTGTGTCGTTGGCTCGACGAACATCGGAGATATAGTCCGAGAATAGTCTAATTAAGGAAACTATCGGTTCAGAAACAGGGTCCATTAGATATCGCGTTTGCCAACTATTCGTCCCGCCGCGCCCGGTTGTCTTCGCTCAACTATCGAACGCAGATAAAACTATTTAACCGAGAACAGAGCGACTATAAAAGCGGCTCGTCGTTGTGTCCAAATATTTGCCATCGAGTAAACTTGGAACGAAAGATCAAATGCTTTCGAACATTCAGTTCTAAACTCTCGTTTCGTAATATTTTATACAATGTATTTAAGATGCCATTTCGTAGGCGTTAATTCTGGCGAAAACACGTTCGAAGTAAAGCGAACTAATCGTGGAAATTAGTTTTGACGCAAGTTAAACAAATCCGCGTTGCAGCTCGAACAAACGTCAAACTCGAACGAGGATAAGTAAAGTTCTCCACGCCTCGATGCAATTGTTCGGAGTTGCTCGTTCAACCAGCGATTCGCGTGTTTCTGAACAATTATTTACAACGGCAATCGCTTCAATGACTCACTTTTTCCACTGTTTCGATAATTCGATATCAAGGCAAAGGTATAAAGTAGAAACTAAAATATCGGTAATCGATCGTGGTTAATTGTGCATGCAACTATGTACACTGGGATCAAAGAATTTGCTGAATCGCGTTTGCTTGTTATAAACCAGATTATCGTAAATCATGTTGCGATGCGTGGCGAGGAATCGAACCGAGAAATTCGACATTCTGCGATCGCGGTGCGTGTCGAGATTTGGTTTTTCCAAATTGCAAAAGTCAAATCGCAGCAAAGTCAATTTAGAACATCTGTCATGCGTGCACTCGGCGTAAATGTTACGCGTTTTCTTTATTTTTTCTTCTTCGAGAGCGGAACGTGGAACGTCGTGCTTACGCGCTCGGAAAAGCGTTAACGAGTCACTGTTTCACGAATGGTAGGTCGATCGAAGTTAAACGAAAATCTGTCTCTTCGCGTTTCGTAAGCAACAAGGCTTTGTATTACGACGCGTAGACTCACCCATGTAAATTTCACAGGAAATTGGATTTTGCAACTCTGAAATGTCTCCTGATAGATGGTATACTGTGGTATAATGATCGAACGGCAGCGCGGTTCGTTTTTAAGTGGTAGGATTTCGTGATAAAATCGAAAAACTTGTACACGATTAGCAGTCCCAATATCTTCCTCCCTCAATCTCAACACCGCCTTATCTTGCTGCAGAAAAGTAAAAAATGCGTTAAA